CTACGACTAAATTGTGCTATTTTACCAAATGAAGTACCTATCTCGCTTAGTTGGCGACTAAATACTCCGATTACCAATTCATCGTGCTAATAATTGGGAAAACAAGTACATGATGACTTCAAATGGTTTAAACACTTGCAAGAAAATGTATTTGAAGCTGTCTGCAAACATTATCTCTACAAGCCCATATGGACGCAAAACGTGAATGTAATTAAGAGCCACACAGTGCCACAGGTCAACGGCTGATGCACCGTATAATTGCTATCTGAATCTTCATACCATATTTGGTTATTAATAATAATAATAATTATTATTATTATTATTACTATTATTATTATTATTACTATTTTTATTATTATTATTACTATTATTACAGTGCCACAGGTCAACGGCTGATGCACCGTATAATTGCTATCTGAATCTCTATACCATATTTGGTTATTATTAATAAAAATAAAAATAATAATAATAATAATAATTTATAATAAAATAATAATATTAATTATTATTATTATTATTATTATTATTACTACTATTACTATTATTATTATTATTATTATTATTATTATTATTATTATTATTATTATTATTATTATTATTATTATTATTATGCGCCCACCATCGTTTTTCCGCTGCTTTATTCATTTTTTTATCTTAATAAATACAAAATGGAATACAAATACAAAATATTATATTATTTCGTACAGCATAAAATTAACATGAATCATAATACTGGAATCGTATTTAATGTATAAGACCTAATATACTAGCCCATAATGACAAAATTTTCATACGTTAATTATACCCATATAGGCTGTAGTAAAATGTTTAAATAACTTCCTATATTGCTGTTCTATATATTTCTAAGAACGTTTTCACTTAGGCAGATGATACACTCTTGCCAGTATATTCTAGGTATCAAAATGCGGTGACAGAAACCCGTAGGCCAGTCTACAATGGGTTAGGAGAATATAGATTTATGCTAGTTTGACAATTGCAAAATTGTGAAATATTAGCAAAATCAAATATTATACTGTACTTGAATTTTGTAAATGAGAAATCATGCGAAATTCGTTCGGCTTTCGTACAGTCCCTCCTTTAGGACACTTTCTTGATGTGCCACATGGTAATTAAGGGGACACTATTTGTATCGTACAACTACAATAGACTCAACATAATAATATTTCATTCAAATGTTTATTACGAAAACTTATGAGCCATAAAGATAACATCAATCCTTAATTCTTAAAACTAATCGTTTTTTCTTCTTTTTGCTCTGTACTATCATATAGGATTTAATTCCCTGAGTCATTGCTCTATACATGCTGATGTATTTGTCATTCATCATTAGCACTTAAATCATCAATATATACATATTTTGTTTATTTGTTTTGAATATATATTGAATTACATGTTTTGTATTTGCATTGAACATTATTGTTACATTTTAGTTTAATTATATTGTAACTCGTTCTTAGGTCAATTGAAATAAAATTATAAAGAATTTTCACTTCAGAAAATATTTCTTATTACTTCTTCCTTATTGCTATTTTATCATACAGTAAGTTATTTAATTTCCCAATCAATAAAATCACGTGACTTTTAAGTCTCAGTGGCAACTTCATTACGACTTAATTCACTGACCAATCAGGGCGAGTAATGCTAAACGTTTGCTATTACTGTTCGCGTAACCTCGAGTCTTTCTTCTGCGTGTAAAAGAGCTCTAATCACTTTATATTAAGTAGGTTCTCTAAGGCTTTCACAATAACAATGGACAACAGCACACGAACCTAGGCTCTTGAACGTTAACAAAGAAAGTTAATAACACTGCTAGTGATCACGAGTAAAGTAATATCTTCCAGATCGAGCGTCTTAATTGTATAATTAAGTCCAGAGGAAGAATGTATTTATGAAAGCAACAGGTAAGACAAGAACAAGCGATTAGAGGCTACAAAAGCTAAATGTTATAACTTAGGAAAATTACTACAATCAAAACAATAAAGAATATGATAGAATCACAGATAAATCATACAATTTCGCATTTTTAAATTAAAATATTTTCTTTTTATAATGTTGCACAATGTTGGAATTTGAAGTCTTTGCATCAATAATCAGTTGCCAAATATTTATAACAATAAATTAAAATTGTCAAAGAGTACAAGAAAAAAAAATCAATGAGAGTGCTGCCAACCCAGGATAAAAAGTTCAAATACCTGCCACTATCATAAACAGAAAACAAACAAATATATAGTTATCAGTTATAATAACATATAAAGTTCTATATGAATATGATAGATCTCGTAATTTTCTTAGTCACCACGTCAATGCAAAACTCAAAAATTTCTGTGAATTCAGATTGATTTTGCTGAATCGCAACATTTGCTGAGAAATTTATTACACATTAAAAAATTAATGGAACGCAGGGAGCATCTGACTTCTTCACAGAGCGAATTAATGAGTTTACTAAAATAAATGAAAGAAGGGTCGAGTTCTATGGCGCAATAGCCATTCACTTTTCGGGTCAACTGATTTAAGGTCTAGGGTTCTTAGTCCTTGGGAAATTTACGGGCTTCAGGTCAACTGATGTAGTCATGGCAAGAGATTACTTAGTCTTCATCGGCAGAGAGTTACTTCAGCCTAGTATGTTTGCTAGAGTTTCAGCAGCTCATGACAACATTGTTCTAAAGCCAAAAAGATTGCCATTGACTGATTATATGGTTAAAATGAATTTTCACATCCTAGGGTGTAGTAAAAATTTGGTACACTCAACTGTAGTACAATGGATCCAGCCCTCATGACCGATAGTGACACAGAAACCATGACTTCGTTCGAATTATTTCCTGTTTACAGCAGACGTATCAAATGTACATTTATTTATTATTATTCAGGTATTAACTTTTTGGGGATTCAAAGTGCTGGAGAACGGAGCAATGGAAATTATTCTTCTGTCTATTATGCTGTTTTCTTTTTTTTTTTCTTTCTTTCTAAATGTTTGTGTTCTGTAAATTTATGAAAGTTTGTGTTCCCACCACTAAACATGACTGAAACGACTGCAATCACAACGAGTAAGGAAAAATACCAACAAACAGGGGTGTAAGAGTTTGTTACCAAAATCACCAGCTAAGACGCCGTTTGTGATTGATTGTGCTCCTGTTGTCAGATAAAAGTACAAGACAGTAGTCAAGATACAGGAAAAAAATACCTGCAAAAAATGAGGTCTGACAACGGCACCAGAATTGGACGGTCTGCCCTTCGAAAGTTGGAAACTACCTGGTAGTCAAAGGACCCTCACTTTTTATGGAACCAAACTATTCAAGAGAAAAGATCAAAGGCTTGGGGAATGTCGGGAATTATTCCTATTCCGAAAAAAGTCGATCTTACAATACCAGGTAATTACAGTGGTCTGATTCTAAATAGGATTCGTCCTGTACTTAATGAGATGTTCTACCCCAATCAAAATAGCTTTCGGGAATTTCGTCCAACAACTACGCACATAATAGCACTGAGAAGAATTATAGAAGAAGTTAAAAACCACTACAAAAAAAAAAAAAAACAAAAAAAAACAAAAAAAAAACAGTAGGCCTAATTATCTTTATTGATTTCCGTCAAATGTTTGACTCTATCAATCGAAACATCAAAATGAAAATGGTATTAGCTTATGGTATTTCTCCTAAGATGGTGGACACTCTCAGAGCAATGTATACCGACACATCAGCTGTGTTCTTAACTCCAATCCAAACCTACTACACATTACGTTGAAGTAAGATCTGGCCAGGCATGGGGGCATTATATGTTTGAGCACTGTATTAATATCTATTTGATATATATATATATATATATATATATATATATATATATATATACTAACAGACTGACTTACTGACTGACTCCTTACTAACAGACTGACTTACTGACTGACTCTTTACTAACAGACTGACTCACTGACTGACACTTTACTAACAGACTGACTTACTGACTGACTCTTTACTAACAGACTGACTTACTGACTGACTCTTTACTAACAGACTGACTCACTGACTGACTCTTTACTAACAGACTGACTTACTGACTGACTCTTTACTAACAGACTGACTTACTGACTGACTCTTTACTAACAGACTGACTTACTGAGTGACTCTTTACTAACAGACTGACTTACTGACTGACTCTTTACTAACAGACTGACTTACTGACTGATTCTTTACTAACAGACAGACTTACTGACTGACTCTTTACTAACAGACAGACTTACTGACTGACTCTTTACTAACAGACAGACTTACTGACTGACTCTTTACTAACAGACAGACTTACTAACTGACTCTTTACTAACAGACAGACTTACTGACTGACTCTTTACTAACAGACAGACTTACTGACTGACTCTTTACTAACAGACAGACTTACTAACTGACTTTTTACTAACAGACTGACAGACTATCTTTCTCTCCCATCCACTGAGTGAGTGAGGAAGTGACTGACTTACTCTTAAATCCCATTTGTTACTAGGGAGCCGTAATAATATGACTGCTCTCTGGTGTTACGATGTCATGTTGGCTTTAACAACATAACAACAAGTTGGAATATAAATATTAATGTTTTTAACCCTTTTGTCCACTTTTGCTGAATGCTATTTTGACCATACAGCCTTCAATGTTAACTTCTTGACTTTTAACTTCTTTAATTCAATTTCAAAATTTCAATTCAATACGAGAATTAATATCCGTTTAAAAAGTCACGCGGGCTTTCCGTACTAATATAATAACGAATCTACAAAATAGGCCTAACACAAAACCACATCAAGAATCATATGTATAACGATGATGGTGATGTATGAGGTGAAAATGACGACAACGGTGATGGTGGTAACGACTATGATGCTACATCGACACAGTAGAATAGTTCATACTCACCGTAGTTAGCCTGAAAATATAATTATGAGCAATTTTTACATCATGTAAATACATAAATTGTGATTCATTTAAATATTTAAAAATTACCTGTTCTGGGCATTCGTGTTGAGGTATCGACTGGAGTTGTTGAGTTGGGGTATGGGAATGCTGTACTTCCTGTAATTATAACAAGTACCAATCACAAAGTTATTTTTTCTAGTTTAAAAAAAATCGTAAAAATTTAACGTATTTTCTAATTTCTAAACTTACACAATGATATATATATAAAAAAAATAAATTTAAAAAAAAATCTAATTTTTGTGGATTTTGCTCCAAAGTTTAATAGATTTTTAAGTAAAAACCTGCAATCACTTAGAGAATGATAGCTCACCTATATCACACCAATAATACCCTTTTCCCAAATACACGATGTTTGCTACGGCAAAGTGGAGTGTTTCTGTAACAACCTCATCGAATACACATGATTTATAATGACTAGAGAAGTACAGTATTGCTTTTATTACGAGTGTAAAAATTAAAAAACTGCCTAACATTAAGACTGTTCACACACGACATCAGCTTGATTCTGTGTGCACTTTACTTGATGAAATTGGAGTTGAAGTTCCTGTCACTACTAGCATTAACGACACTCTTGAAATTATATAGGTCAGACAGAATACGACGAGACATGTTTCCAAGTTATTGTAAAATGCTACCTTTGAATCTGGGAGCCTAGATTCATCCAATGAGAAGCTTTCCTTGCATTGACTTAAGGCTTACCCGGTCACATACTTTCAAGTACGGGAACTTCATACGCGGAACAATTCTCGCATCGATTATACTTTTGACAGCGATTAGCACTCCTCTTTCATGGCGAGTCCAGTACATTTGACAGGGGTGCAGCAGGATTTGCCCGCCCGCGAGGTCCCTGACAGGTGGGCCAATGCCCCGACGAGGGGTCAGATTTCCCCGACGAAAGCAAAGTGGGCGTGTCGAGCTTCGACTAATAGGTTTCGAAAGAGATCCTGCGGGCGAAGCCCCCAAAATTTTGACAATTTAGGGGTTTCAAAGGCTTATTTAATCGATTTTAGAGTCTACTAATATGTAGAAAATACATATAATTTTTTTTTCTCCCCGACGAATTATGCTTTTCTCCCCGACGGGGGGGGGGGGCAGCACATCCCCCACTGGAGCCACCCTCACATTTGATGAACCGTAAAAGTCCAAAAATATCGGAACTTGGTATGCTTGGATTAAGCCAGGATGCCGTGGATTTTCAGATTTAATCAGGGCTTGCAGACAGTGGCGGCGCCAGTGGGGTGGCAGGGGGACCATACAGGTCACCCCCCCCCCCCCCGGACAGAGCTCGTCGGGCAGTCAGACCATAAAACATATAAAAATAGGCCCACACCAAGCCAACACATGTCTGTCACAGTCTGAGAGTGCCAGGTTGATATTCTTGAAAAAAATCTCATTTGGGATTAGGAACCCCTCACAATCCCTTCCTCCAACTCGAGCCTACGAGCTCAAGTCATTCTTGTCGGATAACATAGCCCCCACCCCCGAAAATATATCCTAGAGCCGTCACTGCCAAGTTGCAGACAACGCGATTTGTTTATGCTTCTTATGCGTTAAACAAAGTGCTTGTACATTACGATGTCCATTGTTGATCGGCATACCTAGAGAGTTGCCATAGTAATTACGTGTCTGTAGAACACCATGGTTGGGGCTGAGGTAAGAAAAATTATGATTATGGTACCTCTAGATGCTCGGAAATGGCACTCTGACTTAAATTTTAATATAATTTTCTTTTTTATTTTATTTCGTAGGACGCTTGACAAATCTAAAACTATGTCAGTAATAAATTGTAATACTTTAAATTTTTGAGTGCGAATTGCTATTGTAGAGAAAAATATTTCTACTTTGAACAATTTTACTCAGACATTAGTAGAAATGTGTACGTGTGAAAAGGGCAGACGCCACCAAGAACTTATTTTGTTTCAGTGTTGATCATAGAAAACTTCATACTAGCGTCTTGTAAAATCATACAGACGTAAACTTCTCCGGTACATCTAATCAAAATGTTTCTACTTTAAAAGTTTGTGCTCTGCGTGGCAAGTATTATGTAGGCCTGTGTGTTAATGGGACATTATTCGAACGACCTTTTATCTCAAAAACTAAAAATGAAGTACCCTAGTACATGTGTCTAGTGACTTTATCAAATAGCGCGTATACATTTAATTAACTATTAAAACATGTTAATTCATGGGGCTAATACATAGATATAATACGTATAATTAGGAAACTATGAAATCAATGAAAATACATTTGATTAAATCTAGTTAATAATTATTTTTAAATAGTAATTTGTGCTCTTCAAACAACATAACAATGCACTAGCAATTCCATATCGCATTCAGCATAACAATCATTCGACAAGCATATATTAGTAATACAGTACGGTAATTATTGTGAAGATTAGAAAACACAGAGTGTTAGCAAAAAAAAAAATGTTTAAATTAAGAGATTGTTACCAGGAAACGTAGGAGTAACATGCTGCTTGCTGTTGTTGTTGTTGTTGTATCGTTCAGGTTCATGTCGATTTGCAGGCAGTCCAGTAAAGTCCATCATTTTACCTTGTGTTGGAGCTGGACCACGTGGAGATGGCTGCAACGCCTTGTCCACATCTTCTGATGTCAGATTAGGCAGTGGAGCTGCAATATTTTAAATTATTTAAATATATTTTTATTCTTTTTATTTTATACATAATCCCAGCTTGTGGGTTTGTGTATGTATCCTATATAAACACAAGTAGCTATATTTGGCATAATATAACAGCACTTGACATCCTTTAGCCTATTGTTATTTCCAGACATAATGTCAGACCACATGGACATGAAAGTAAACACTGCCGCACATAAAATCATATAACGGTAAAAAGCCAGTGCCCGAATACATTTAAAAAAAAAATTGATTATGAATGCATAATTTGATTATAAATACATAGCGACATCTGTATTACTCTTTAGCTTACTTCTACCCCACTTGTGAGGGCGTATATACGTTTGAAGAACTGTCGTTCGCTAAATTGTATCTGCTGGCCTCTGTGGTCTGCGGTAAGTCTAGGTATGAAACTCCCATTGACAGCAAAAGAAGAAAATTCCCGCCGAGGTCACTTTTTCAAACAATTGATAAGAAATTTTTTTGTTAATAGGCTACCTATATAGCTTTGTAATATACATTTTTTTCCATTATAAATCGTTTATAGACCAGTTCATGCCTTCTGTGATTATAAGTTTGTGGCGACCAATTAATTTTGACCAAACGCTAAACCCATTATATTGTGTCAACATTGTAACATACTTGTTTGTATATCACTCATGCTGATGAAGACCTAAGAACAGGTAGAAATGTTCATGCATAAATATAATAGTCTGAGTCAATGCTTAATATTACGTACCAATTTTAGATGCAATACAATATTAATACATCTACCAATTAAATAACGTTATGATTAAATACCTGAATTGTAATATTGAAATAAAGAGTAAACACTTGATTACAAACCATGTAATCAAAAGGAAAATTAATTGTACTTACTTTGTTTCAAAAAATTTAAATGTGACATAAGTACATCAGCATTATACGCGCTCGTGATCCGAATAAAATCATCTCTGTTCATTTTACATAACTGTTTACCCTCCATGTTGAATCTTGTGACCTGGACATCTTGCAGGGAGTATTCGCGCACGGCCCATTCAACCCACTGTTGTACATGTTCAGTGCTCCACATGTTAGGATCTGAAAGAAAAATAGAACATTTAGACCAAAGAATTTACTGAAGAGTTTGATTTTTTTTTTCTGCTTTACATTTCATTATTATACAACATTGTGAAGATCAATTTGCTTTCCAAGAAGAACAATGTGTTAGTTTAACTCCAAAAAGGTATTGTATAATATGCAATGAATGATAGTAAATGATATTATATATACACTCATACAAGGA